CTCTATAGATATGAAGACATTGATATAGTGAAATCTCGGCTGTCAAAGTCAATTTGTTCCAAATTCATGTTCGAACATTGAAAAGTTTGAAAAGTGAACATATTTTTCCCAAAAGAAGTAATGGAAAATCAAATAATTCGCTCTGAGGCTCCCAAATTACACTTAGAAATTCGTTATGGAGGCATTTAGCCTTCCTGCGTATCACTGTCTTGGATAAGCTATCACCATCAAGTCGTTTCTGATTTATCCAAACTAACTAGCGTTTCAATCTCTTCCGTGGTCTAGATTCTGCCTCGTGGTTAACGATTTCACGCCTTTTGCTACAGTAGCTGCTTTAATCACTTTTTTTTTGCTGTTGTTGGTAACATCATATTGTCTTCAACCACCAAATCAGACCGAAAAATGTGATTAAAATTTCACAATGCCTTCCTTCCTTCCTTTCTTTAATTCTTTCGTGGTTCTCACAGCTTTCCTCTTAGCTTGACTGCTGCTGGCACTAACTTTCTTGGAGCCATGTTTATGCTATTTTATGTAAGTAAAGTGCAAACATAAAATGACAATGACGGATTTTTTAAGCGGCAGCAAAAGCACTAAGACAGGTGTCGGAGGGGAGAGGAGCTGAGCGACTCACTCTTGGCCCACACACGTGTTTTCAAGTCAGATCTTCAGCTGTCTATTGAGCAAAGTTACGAACACCCGCAGACCTTTTTCAAACTTGCTGTTCGAAGAGTGGAAAGCTAGAGCGTGGAGCCACTCGACAATCAAAGTATCACTGTGTGCATGAGAGAGATGCCTCCTACTCCCGTAAGAGCCACAGGCTTGGACGCTCAAAGAGGCAGTTAAACTCCGCCCTATAGGGTTGTTATTAGTTGGAATCTACTCGATGACAGTGAATATGGTTTATTGAATATATATATATAAGGTTTAGTATCAGAATAAAACAAAAAATGGCTTACGATACACATTATTTCTCTCTCCAGCTTTAGAAGCCTTGAAAAGGAGAACAGAGCTGATAAGCCTGTGACAGTTCAGAAACGTAGGCTCTATTACTGGTCAACCTACGTGTGGCTTCCATTCCCAGGGCACCTAATGGTTTAAAATAACTGAGGGCGCTCCAGCTATTACATCCATACTCCAGCCATCAGAAGGGAGAAAGCAGGAGCTCATTTCTTCTCTTTTGAGAATTTGCATATACCACCCCCCATTTGGAACACATTGGGAGTTAGGCTGCACCTAACTTCTAAGAAGGGTAGGACCAGTCCCTTTCTCCCAGGAGAGCTAAAAATCAGATTCGTTACAATGTACCATTCATTACTTTAAACTCTGAAGAGAACTAGCAATCCTTCCTATGCTGTGCACAATCCTTTTATTATTATTAATAATAATAAACAGTAATAATCTAAGGCAGGACATCGAGTTTATTATCCCAATTCCATTCTGCATGGTATGACCTTGGGCAAGACTCTCTGCTGCGTCCCTGCGGCTTCCAGCTCTTTTCTGACTCAAGGCTTTGCACTGGATATTCTTTCATCCCACTGCGATCGGACTGTCTGGTTTCTTCCATTGATCAGATCTCAACTCAAGAGTCACTTCCTCAGCAAGGCCTTTCTGGATTCACCACTGCATCCAATGTTGGGGGCCTCAAAGTCGATTTTTGACTCAGCAACCTGTGCCTCTTGATGGGGGCAGGTCGCCAGCTCTTCCGCCCCTGAAATGGCTGGGTGGGTTGGAATCACCAGCTGGTGCATAGCCATTGTGTCACCAGGGCTGCTTTGAAACAAACGTCGGTTCCACATCCGTCCTTACAGCTTCTGGGTCTTTACCATCATAGTTGTTGTGTTGCTACCGAGTCCCTGACAAGCTTACTTGTCAAATGGCTGTGATGGGGCCGAAGCTCCACGAGGACTGCCTTGCTCAGCGCCATGTCCCCAGTGCTTCGGGTGGTGCTCGGCACCTAGCAGCAACTCTGCCGATTCCTACCTACGGTAGTGGGGAGTGGGCGAATACTCTATTAAGTGCAGGTCCCACCTCTAAGAACTCACTTTGGATAAGGAGAGAACAATAGCTGGAAAATTCAGTACTAAACACACTGTGGGTTTAGAAGCATGGTCTCTGGCAAAGGGAACTGAGAAGATTTCTTTCATGGCAGCTTCTCTACAGAAACCAGAATCCTTCCCCACTTGCTTCTGGAAGCTCTGGGCAGTGGGCCAATGGCAGAAGTCTGTGGTCCAGGGTCCTGGTTCATTTCTAGGCAGTTCTTTTTACCCACAAAGCCAACAGAAAATGAAAATTTGTGCATCCAAGAACAGCAATCAGAGCGTCGTTACCTTAGCCACTCCCTACAGTCACCTTCGTTTTCCAGCTTCCAAACCACGGGGCGGATTTCTTCAGACCCCCAGGCTGTGTGAAAGCCCTGGCTTCCCAATCCTCAAAATAACGACCACACCACGTTTCTCGGTACGCAGTACCTTTGCCGTTGTGATTGCATGAAAGCTTGTCAAGCAACCCTCTGAGGCCCCTCAGAGCTGAGATTCCAAGAGAGCTGGCCCTAGCTTCCACTCACTCAGCTGGAGGAGGTGGAACTGGTCTCCCAAATTCAGAGCTTGTAAGCCCACACCACTCCTCCCTAACCACACTTCCGTCTGATGGTGAAGCATATGAATTCTAGTAAGCACCTAAGTACACCTGCACACACCTCTACACAAAGCCATCGGGGAGGGAGGGGGGAATTCAGCTGAAGCAGTGGGCAGAGCCAGCTGAGAACAATAGGGCCGGGTGAAGGGGAGTCAGTGGGGTTCCCTGACTGCCTTGCCATGGCCGCAAACCTCATCACGTCACGGTCTCCTAGGCCGCTGCCTCTCTCCTTACCAAGGCATCAGCTGGGGCTTCGCTGCTGATTCCCACACGATGTGAAAAGCTCTTAAACCCCCGCTGTATTTTTAATGGGGGCAGTAACTAATTCAGCCCTACGCCACCAACCTTCAAATCAAATCTTTTATTGGTACTTACTGAGTGCTCACCTGGGCTCCATGGGGCTAGGAGAAATCCGGAGCTGGAGAGGGGCCAGAGCCTGGGGTCTGGAGAGCTCCGGCACACTCCTGTCTGAAGTCTTGGCTCTGCCCAAAGGCAGGCCCCATCCCACCATAGCTCTCCTCATCTTAGGGAACACTGATGCCAGCCCCGAGATCCTCCCTGCACACAGCTGTGACCTAAAACGTGGGACAGAGTGCCCTACATTCTAAAGGTGACTGCCCATTCTGTCACTGGCAGGAGCCTGCTCCGCACTGCACAGGTATGAAATGGTTTTGGAAAAACTGAAGACCCCACTCATTTGGGAATGTTTCATGAAGTGGCAGGAGGGATCTCTTATGTCACAGAAGGCCCTGAGAGGGGAGTCAGAAGATGGTGGGCCTAACTGCTCCAAATTTCACACCTGTGACTTAGAACATTCTAATTCAGCACCATCGGTCTGCCTGCTTCATTTCCACTCTGCAGAGGGCAATCATCTTGCGCTTGTGAAGTTAACCCAGAAGGGTTGCCCCCTTGCAGGTTCAGAAGCCCTGGCCTCTGGCTAACAAGTTGGCAGGGTACCAGCCGGATGGCCCTGTGAGAAAATGGTCCTCGTGTCAGCACTTCCGATCACACTTCACTCTGGGTCTGGGAACCAGCGGCGCCCATCTCGGTCCTTGGGTGGGGGGTGGGGGCGGGTGTCACTGCTATTCTCATGTTGTAGTTGTCCTCACGTCAGCTCCAACGCCCAGCGGCCTTGCTTACAACAGAACAAAGCGTGGCCTGATCCTATGCCGCCCACATTATTGCTGGGAGGGTTTGCCCTCATGCTCAAGGACCCTCTGCCAATAGGGTGCCCTCTGCTAGCCGTTGGCTTTGCTAGGTGACAAGTCCAAAGTAGGAAAGACAGGGTAGCTGTCCTTGGCACTGAAGACCATCCGGCGGTACTCTCCAGTGCTGTTGTTCCCACACGTGCCTTCTCACCACGGCTCAGCAGCCAGCACCAGAACCCGTTCTGGCTTGGATCTGGGCTTCCCGCTCGAGCACCTGCAGCCAGCACGAAGGAAAGCCGCCCTGGGAGCAGAGAGGGAAGCAAGGAGACAGCCAGGCGCGAGCACAGTAACACCTGCTTTGTGCCTTGGAAACACTGCATACTTACGCTCAGGTCTCCTGATCCATAAAGGAGGCCATCCGAGTACCTGTCTCGAAAGATTCTTTTCTGACTTCCAAGGCCACAGCCTCGCTACATTCCATCCGGGTCCTTAGAGACCTGTTTTCAGTTTCCCACCAAGTTGATTCCAACTCAGTGCGACCCCACAAGTAGAGTAATGCTGCTCCCCGGGGCTTTCAAGGTTCAAGTTTCAGAGACATGAACAGGCCTGCCTTCCAAGAGGCCTCTGGGTGGGTTTGATGGCCGTCCTTTCAGGTTGCTGTCCAGAGCCTGCGGCCATGTGCACCACTCAGGGACTCTGGTTAGAAACTCCTCATTTCTTTGCAAAGGAAAATAGGGTTTATTGTGTGCAGATCCCAGGGGGACCTGGCTCAGGAACAGCCCCCAACCCCCAGGTGACACCAGTCCCCTCCTCCCACATGCCACACCCCACTCCAGGCCAGGCAGGGAGAAGAAAGCCAAGCAACCAGGTGCTGATCGCATGGATTCCCTTTATTGGACTGTACTAGTTACTGCAGTCAGATTAAGTCACATTTAAAAGCAGACCATCCAGTTGCACTGAAACCGATTATATTCATTACATAGTTTTAATCACTGTCCGGTGAACTGGCAAATCCAATCAAAGCATTAGTCTTTAATTAAAAAATTAAAAGGAAATATTCAGACAATAGCCAAGCAATCACATCACAATGCACAATTACCTAGAATTGCAATTAAAAAGTAGTTAATGAACAGGGGAGGGTAAAAACAAGAAAAGAAAAACAACAATTAAAAACAAAGAAGCAAAGAAAAAAAATCACACTAATTCTTTTTTTTAAAAAAAAAACTATCAATATAATACATGAAGGAACAAAGGACAATAGCCTCAAAAAGCGGTTTTCTCTAACTCTAGAAATGTAGTCTGCGGCAGAAACTCTAAGAGCACACTAGCTGTAGCAAGACAATAAAAAATACTGAGCATGGAATACTTTTAATCTCTGCCATTAATATTCATTTCCAGCTGCTTATAATAGCAGCGCCTCATGGCCAAATCATTAGAGTTTTACATCTGGGTTGCAAATGACACTTTGATTGGATGTAATGTTCAAATGGCCCTCCCCACGGTGTCTCCGGCAAGCCTTCTGCGGAGAGGTGTCCTGTCGCGCGGTCCCTCACTGTGCGTGCTGGCTCATCGTGTGGTTCTGTAAAGGCGAAGAAAGGAGACATGCATGAGGGCAGAAGAATGGTGAGCATGCCTGGCCCCTCCCACTCGTGCATTTAGGCCAGGGACCCAGCAAAGTGGCTGTGTTAGGACAAAGCAGAAGGCAACGAGGAACAAAGTGCTCTGGGGACGCAGCTGCCGAGATCCCGTGTTAATCTGGACCGTGGGGCCGGATTTCTGTGGCTGCCAACCTGGGCCTTCAGACATCTTTTTAAACCATTTGGGTCTTGCCACAGGGACTGGCAAGGCTGAAGGGAAGGGGAAGAGGGAGGTGGCAGGAATGGAAACTACCCGGCACTCCACGCCACCTCCCTTTGCTCTAGCCGTTCCGAGGAAATGATCTTCTGGTTGCCTGCAGGCCTCCCCCGGATTGCCCTCTGGTCTTCCTCCCCAGTGGCTGCTTGGAGCTCAGCAGAAGGAGACAGCAGATGTGCCATGAGAGGCTCAGGCCAAGAACCACTCGAGTGGGCACAGCCACGTCCAGGCAGTGGGCGGCCCAGGTGTCTGCTGCTGAGGGAGGTGACAGGTCACCAAGCAGGCAGGGAGGCCCTGGGAGCAACCCTGCCCCTCATCTCTGGGGGCCCACCCACAACAGCACTCAGGCCTGACAACAGGGCCCTTCTACAATGTGGCCAAATTCTCTTGGGAATCCAGGCCCCAGGCAGGCCCCCTCGGGCCACATGCATCCCTCATGTCATGGCCCAAGGCATTTTCTCCCTCCTGCCAGCTGGACCGGGGCAGCAGACTGCCTCCGAAGGAGCCTGCAGCGCAGGGCTGAAGGTGGGATTTGGCCTCTCTGAGAGCCAACCTTTTGTTTATTTCCAGTGGCCCATGTTCCAAATTCAGTCCAGTATCATCAAAGCCTCAGGTGGTGCTCAGCCCGGTGCCTCCCAGGGAGGAGAGGAAGCCTGGCCCTGCTTAGAGACGGCACAGGCCCTGATCACAGGAGCAGTTTCTTTGTTTGGGTGATGATTGTTTTTAAGTACTTTACGTATTTTAGAACTCTATTTTGACCAGAAATATGTGCCTAATTTTGTTTTTTATGTTGACCAGAAATATGTGCTTTTCGAGTTATATTTCAACATGGTAAACACTGACAATTTAGAAAGGAAAATTTCTCCTGATCTCTCCTCCCACACATCTGCATGTTGGCGTGTGGGTTAGTGGTGGGCAGTGAACTACAACATCAGCAGTTCAAATCCACAAGCAACTCCACAGGAGAACGACAAAGCTTTCTGCGTCCATGAAAATTTACAGCCTGGGAAACCCTCGGGAGCAACTGTACTCTGACCTGTAGGGTCACAAGGGTCAGAATCAACTTGATGGCACGAGTTAACAGTACAGAGCAAATTACTCCAGAATTATTTTCCTGAAGGACATCACTTATTTTGTGCATGCTTGTCTGCTGTGGCTACATTACTACTGTTTTGATTTAACTTGGGGAGCAGCTTTTGCATATACCTCTGCCTTCCCAGACCTGGGCACTTAGCTTGCTGGGCTGAACCAACCAGGCAGCTGTGCTGATGACCACCAGGGGTCAGACACGGCACTGGAGTCAGTGGCCTGAGCTATAATACCGTGAACTGTGCTGGGGGCCCTGGGGACCAAGGCAGAGCTGGGGGAACCCCCTTCTCTAGAACCTAATGAAGCTCTCTCTGGCAGCCCCTTTGCACCACAAGTCTTTGTTGCTGCCTTAGTGGTGATCTCCTGGGCCCAGTTCATAGCCGAGAGGCAGCCCTGCACTCCATTCTCCTGTGTTGACGCAGGCCACGCAGCTGGTATCTAGCAAGCACATGTACTCTGTGCCCATGCAGGCATTTCTCTGTAAAGAAGCAAAACTAAACCCACTACCGTGGGGTTGATTCTGACTCTTAGTGACCCTATCAGACATGTCCAGGGCTAAGTCATTACTGAAGCAGACTGCTGCATCGTTCTCCTGCAGAAGTGGCTGGTGGGTTTGAACCACCAACCTTGAAGATGAACAGCTGAACTCTTTAATCCCTACACCACCAGGCCTCCTACAATGGCCTTACCTAAGAGGTAGGAAATTGTAATGAAACGAAACTAAGTTAATTTCAGAGAAATTAAGAGTAGTTGTCTATGGCCACAGATAGAAAGGATGAAGGCTGAATCTCGTCGGACAAGTGAAATGCAGGAGAACCAGGGCCTTCAGTAAAGGCAGGCCCTGCTCTGTAGTCTGCAGCTGGGCGAGCACCCAAGCTGAATCCTGTCCCCGCTCAGCACCAATCATGGGCACAAGTTCTGCCAGTGTGGTCTGGAGCTTTGGTCTGGGTACCTGGACCCAGTTAGCTGAGGCCACAGAAAGGATACAGGTGGTTTCCATAGTAACCCCTACCCTCCAGCCAAGACACAAGTTCAGGGACAGCCAACAGTCCTCCAGGGAGCCAGACTCACACCCCCATAGAAACCATCCTCTTCTACCTTCTAAGTGTTGGCTGATTCAGTTACCTCTCCTCTCTCCTCCCTCCAACCAAGCTATCCTGTGCATCCTCTAAGCCAGCGGCCACATCTCCATCCCCACAGTCTCGCACAGCACCTCCCACCCATCTGCATGCTTCTTCGGTAGCACTGATGACGAACCTAATCAAGACTGGTCTTCTCTCCTGAGCTACATGCAGCTCTTGACCCTAGCATTTGGCCTTAGGCTGGGTGAACACAGTTCCATGGGGGCATAGCAGGCAGAGCATGCTAGGGGGTAGTTTGAAGGTCTTGCTTTATTTAACCCCAAGGTTAGCAAATTAAAGCCACTCAAAAGCACTATAGAAAAAAGGTCTGGAAATCAGATTGCAAAAGATCACAGCCTTAAAAGCCCAATGGAACAGTTCTAGTGGGATGGCCAGGACACAAAACTGACTCAACAGCAGTGAATTTAGTTTGGAATTTAAGGTGGGGAGTGGGGGAGAAGGATGTTGGGAAGTGCAGGCATTCAGAGCTCAGTCTCCTGCTTTCCAAGAGTGCTTTCCTGAGCCTGGCAAAGCGGGGCCGCTCAGCGCTTTGGAACGGATGAGCCTGGGAGTAAATGCGTGAGTAAAATGCACAGGGAGGACTCAGCTGTGTGCAAAGAAAGGACATTCCAAGAGAATGGTACAGCAAAGAGAAAGGCACCGAGGCGGAGAGGGATATCAATAATGATTGTACAACAGGAACAGTACAAGCAATGTCACTAGATAATACATGTAGAAGTTGATGGATTAGAGAATGTTTTGTTGCTCTATTTTTGCCAAAATTGAAAAAAAAAATGACATGAGTAACAATGAGCTCCAGTGTGGCAGTGATGGAGAAAACTGTGGTAAGACCGTTCAACTCAAGAATTCTAGATGTGGCTAAGCCATTGAGTCATATAATGTGTGGATGAAGTGCCAATAAAAAGTGTTAAAAAAAAAGAAAAAAGAAAGAAAAGCACAGAGGCTGGATGGTGCCTGGCAACCATTGTTCTGAGGGGGGACCCTGGCAGGGGCTCCCAACTCAGAGAGTGCCTGGAGGGTCAGTGGGAGTGCCTACTGACCAGTGAACGCCGGAGCCTCTCAAGCGTGGACTTGGTTCCACAGGCAGCAGAAACCAGGGATGGTGTTTGATTTCCACAAAATCTTCAAGAGTCCCCAAATGATGACATGCCCTCTTTCCAGGATACTAAGGTCAGGGCCAGTATAACACACATGGTCACAGCAGTTCACACAGGCCCAAGAAATTCTGGAAGTGGAAACCCACTCATAGAACTGCTAGCTAGGGCAATGCAAGGGAAACCATGCTGCTTCTTGGATAAAAATCATGTGGTTTTCTCTATATAGAGCAGGAGCAGTGGTTCTAGAAAGCGCTTCCTTAAAGAGGGTGCTGAGACATAGGGGAAAAAACACCATTCCCTGAAGTTGTGCACGAGTAAAAGCCTAGAATGTTACAGGGATGGAAAAATCAAAACTACGTGGCTAAGGAGGTAGATACAGAATCGACTTAGAAATGTGTGATTCAACCCTGCTGGGTGCTAGGCTCCAAGCTGGGCACAGAGGGGCCAAAGCCAGCAGGGCCCAATCTTTCCAGGAGCCTGTGTCTACTGGGGACATATCCCACTTTTTGTGTGAGCTCAATGGGGCAGCTAGTCAAGGACACCCAAAAATATTTTGTGTGTGTGTGTGTGTGTGTGTGTTGGGGGCTGGGGGTTGGTGAGAGGGAAGGGCAGTCTCCGGAAGGGTGGAAAAGACTGCTTGTCATAGGTCTCACCACTCGCCAATCACACAATACCTGTGCTCAGTGACTCCTGGCAGACGGCGACAATGAACTCAGTTCAATAACCCTAAAAGAGCCCTGCTCTTCCCTACAGCGCTAGGCTCTGGTTGGAGGAGCGGGGAGCTTCATCAAGCCTTCTTAAAGAGCTCCTTCCACCCGGCATGGTTCTCACAAGGGCATTTCGGCTTAATGTCTATTTCTCTGTTTATGCCTGTGCTATATTTAGCCCCTTTGGAGAGGGAAGAAAATCGTTTTTTAAAGACACTACAGGCCCGGTAGATGAACACTGCCCAGTACTATAAAGGATAGGGAGGGGTGGGGAGAGGGACTGGAAGTCTGGAAAGTGCCCAGAGGGGAGGGCTGGCAGCCGCATGGACAGTTCTGCCTGCCAGGGAGACACAGGTGTGGGGCAGAGAAACAGGTGAAAAAAATAAAACTGGAGGGGTGGGTGTGGCTGGCTGTGGCCAGATCTATCCATGCACAGATGAGATACAGGTTCCTGGTGTGGCCCATTAGTTATGGGCAACAGGACGGCATGGAGCGAGACAGAAAGCTCTATGTTGTAGTTGTACTATGTACTATCTGGGCTTCTAAGTAGAGCCTTGGACATCAGCACAGGGTCTCTGTCATGCCCTTGACCTCTGGAGAGAGGCCCAGCATTTCACCAACACGTCCATTCATTCATAAAATCCTTCCTGAGTCCTCACTGTGGCTGCTGCCACACGCTGCTGAAAACTA